GGAGGCCAAGGTGAGTGGATTGCCTGAGCCCGCGGGTTCGAGACCCGCGTGGGCAACTTGGCGAGACCTCATCTCTACAATAAACCAAAAACTAGCCGGGTGTGGTAGTGCGCGCCTGTAGTTCCAGCTACTTGGAAGGCTGAGGCGGAAGGATCGCCAGAGCCCAGCAGGTCATGGCTGCAGTGGCCGGGAGCAGCCACTGCACTCCAGTCTAGGTGACAGAGTGAGACTCCAATTAAAAAAAAAAGAATACAACCACAGATAAAAATTGCAGGGGAAGCCAGGCTCGGTGGCTCAGCCTGTAATCCCACGCCTTGGGAGGCTGAGATGAGTGGATTGCCTGAGCCCGCGGGTTCGAGACCCGCCTGGGCAACTTGGCGAGACCTCATCTCTATAATAAATCAAAAATTAGCCGGGCATGGTAGTGCACGCCTGTAGTTCCAGCTACTTGGAAGGCTGAGGCGGAAGGATCGCCAGAGCCCCGCAGGTCGAGGCTGCGGAGGCCGGGAGCGGCCACTGCACTCCAGTCTGGGTGACAGAGTGAGACTCCAACTCAAACAACAACAACAAAAAAACTGCAGGGGAAGTGGTGGCCTAGAAGGACAGCAAGGAGTTACAGAGGATAGGTGGAGAGAAAGGTCAGAAAACAGGATGGCTTCAGAGCCAAAAATGGAGAGGGACTCAGATGGAGTTTTAGGTACTGTCAAAGATAAACATTAATGGGTAGTGAGGTGGCGTGGAGGAGGAATTTGGAGTTTACAGAGTCAAGGGTTAAAATTTTATGGAAGGCTGGAAGCGGTGGCTCATGCCTATAATACTAGCACTTTGGGAGGCCGAGATGAGAGGATTGCCTGAGCCCAGGGTTTGAGATCAGCCTGGGCAACTTGGTGAGAATTCCTCTCTACAATAAATCAAAAAATTAGCCGGGCTTGGTAGTGCACACCTGTAGCTCCAGCTACTTGAAAGGCTGAGGTGGAAAGATCGAGGCTAGGTGGCCAGGAATGTGCCACTGCCCTCCAACCTAGATGACAGAGTGAGATTACAACTCAAAAAAAAGTTTTTTTTTTACGGAAGAGGGGAGGAATTCTGAGTATTAAAATATGTAAGAACAGCTGTGTGCTCAGGAACTGCTGTTCTAATTGTGGCCATGACTAAAGGTGTGAACATGATATGGGCTGGGAGGTTCTTGAGCTGTGCTGAGCAAGCAGTACTTAGACAAAGAAGGGCAGGGGAGCTTTTGCCAGGCTCAGTGGAGGTAGTACCATAGCTCAAAGCATCCCTGTCAGTTGAGAACGATGTAAATATGGACAAATGGTAAGTCTTTTAGGGCCTTCAGTGTAGCCAGGCAAGACAGTTTCCTTAGTCATGAAGAGTCTCATCTCTTCCAGGGTAAATGACTTAAAAGTGGTTGGGAAGTACCGTTATAGCTGATGCCTGATTTTGCGTCAGATGACTTATCTTTGCTTCTACAGCACTGGCCTAGGGTGTAGAGTACAGCATCAAAATGTTTGATGAGGTGTCACCACCATGAGCTACCCTGGGAGTCAGGAAAACTGAGTTCAGCTGACTTGCTGTGTACATCACGGGCATGTCCCTGAAAGCCTTATGCTGCATCTCAAGATTCTCCATCAGTTACATGAAGAAATTTGACTAGAATTCATGGTTTCTAATTATCTGAAGGATCATGACTCCCTTTAAGAATATGATGAAAACTAGGGAACCTCTCCTTTTGAGTAGCACACATGCAGAAATCAAATGTGTGCCTTTTCTGAGTGTGCTTGGACGAGATACCCACCAACTAAAACTCACCTAAGGGGCTTAATCAACTCAGGGCTTGACATAGCATCAAGAAGCCCTCCATCAGAGGTGAAAGCACTCCTCTTAGAAATGAAATGACGTGCCGGGCTCGGTGGCTCAGCCTGTAATCCCGCGCCTTTGAGAGGCTGAGGTGAGTGGATTGCCTGAGCCC